GGAGGGACCTGGGGAGGGGACCGTGTGAGGTTGGAGGGACCTGGGGGAGTACAGTGTGGGATTGGAGTGACCGGGGGGGGGGACTGTGTGAGGTTGGAGGGACCTGGGAGGGGACCGTGTGAGGTTGGAGTGACCTGGGGGGGGGACCGTGTGAGGTTGGAGGGACCTGGGGGGGGACCGTGTGAGGTTGGAGGGACCTGGGGGGGGACCGTGTGAGGTTGGAGTGACTGGGGTGGACAATGTGAGGTTGGAGGAACCTGGGGGGGCAGTGTGAGGTTGGAGTGAGTGGGGGGGGACCATGTGAGGTTAGAGGGACCTGGGGGGGACACAGTGTGAGGTTGGAGAGACCTGGGGGGGTACCGTGTGAGGTTGGAGGGATCTGGGGAGGGACCATGTGAGGTTGGAGGGACCTGCGGGGGGATAAAGTGTGAGGTTGGAGTGACCTGGGGAGGGACCGTGTGAGGTTGGAGTGACCTGGGGAGGGACCATGTGAGGTTGGAGGGACCTGCGGGGGGATAAAGTGTGAGGTTGGAGTGACCTGGGGAGGGACCGTGTGAGGTTGGAGTGACCTGGGGAGGGACCGTGTGAGGTTGGAGGGACCTGCGGGGGGATAAAGTGTGAGGTTGGAGGGACCTGGGGAGGGACACTGTGAGATTGGAGGGACCTGCGGGGAGGGTAAAGTGTGAGGTTGGAGTGACCTGGGGAGGGACCGTGTGAGGTTGGAGGACCTGGGGAGGGGTCTGTGAGGTTGGAGGACCTGGGGGGTCAGTGTGATGTTGAAGGGATGCCGGAAGACACTGTGTTTAGAGGGACTCGGCGAGGACAGGGAGGTGGTCCCTGGGGGAGAGCATGAGGCTGGGGGTTTGCAGCCTGTGGTGGGTGAGGTCCAGGACCCCTTGTCCAGCCGTCAGATGTGTGTCAGTCCCCGAGTCCCGTCCGTGCTGGAGTCCATCTGCAAGGGCTGTCCGGAGACTGGTCTGAAGCTTCAGTGTTTAGGGCACTGAGCAGGGCAGACAAGGGGAATGCAAGCAGACATAATCCTATGGAAAACAACCAGCAGACAGCAGAATGAAAGACTGGATCCGATTTACTCGCGCGCACACACGCCTCCTGTGACAAAGGGGAAAGCAGCCCTACCCATTGCTGGCAAAGAAAACCGACCCAGGCTTCCTGGAGCCGTCACTTATTTTTATGGCAGAGTCTTAAAATGTCAGCGTGCCCTGGGCACCATTAGGACGCGGAGGGCTTTGTGTTCATTCTCTGCTTCTTCTGGAGTGGCTTTTCCTTCAGCAGGTCAGCGCCAGCATCGGAACGTGAGTGTCCCGGGCCCCACGGACGGGTTTGTCTCTCCCGGACGTGGGGCCCCTGACAGGCACCTCTTCCGATCCCCCCGGACCTTCTGACCAACCCCCTCATCCACCCTTGCCAAGGTCACGACTACTGTTCTTAATCATGTACCCTGGGCAGAAATCCCTGGATTTGCTGAAAGTCTTGGCAACAGAATGCCTCAGGGCGGGGGTTTCAATGACCCGAATAGGACTCGAGGGACAGTGTGTTTTATCTACAGGGACTTGGCTGCCGGGGGCAGTGCCCTTATTTGCTTTTTTCCCAATTTGCAACCCTTTCCTTGTTTTGTCCCCAGATGGTTCTGTCCTGGTCCATCACTTTCTACTGAATGCTTGCATCTTGATGCTTTCTACTTCTGTTTTATTTCATCTCCGAATGCACTCTCCTGCGGAGCAGGAGTGTATGAATTTTGAGGGGTATTAGACTTCAGTTCACTCACAGCCTGGGATCTCGGATGCCCCATGGGTTTGAACAGGGGCAGGATGAGTCCCATCTACGGGATGCTTTTCCTGGGATTGCGGTCTTTAACCTGCCGTTCATTCCTTGGGGGACATCTCACCGTAATTTAACGCATCTGAATGACGTGTGCGCCTCCCTTTTATCCCCAAAACCATCTTCCCTCCTGCTCCACCGCCGAAAAATCTCACCCCAGTAGGTCTCAACAGACATGAAGACTGAAGCATTTCCTGCAAAGGAGCCCTGTGTTCGCACTCTCGGAAATCACCCGCACGCATACCTTTGTACCTTCCCAGCAAGTCGTCTGCTTCTGCAGGACAGTGCGCACCAAGGGACCAGTCCGCCCCGCTCACCACTTCGACTTCTTCCCCCTGTGATTTAGTGCCCCACGAAGACCCCGGATGAACCGAAGTTCTGATATCCTGAAACGCGTGTGACATCGAGTGAATCTCTGAGTGCGGGACGGGTGGAATGTGCTCACAGAAAAAGTAAAGGCTGTCGTTATCCGTAAACAAAATCAAGTATGCACAACTCAGATCAACTGTAATTGTCTGGGTCTTTGAAGCAAAACCCTCTTCTCTCTTTCTTTTTTCTTTTCTTTTTTTTTCCAGAGGTAGAGCTCAGTGATTCATCAGTTGCATATCACACCCCGTGCTCACTCCATCACGTGCCCTCCTTCATGCCCATCACCCAGTTACTCCATCCCCCCATCCACCTCCCCAAAACCTCTTCTTTCTTTCAAAACTACCAAACATCATGAAAGCAAAGCATGCCCTAGACTTACAATATCTCCGAATATTCCAGATTTCCCCCTTAATTAGCCACTGTGCCAAATTGCCTAATGGATGCATTTCTCATGAAATGCTGGAGCTGCTATTTATCTCTCCTAGGTGTAAATGCTTTTCTTGTCTTCCTAAGCCCATTTGCATTTTTCGTTGTTGTTGCCCTTGATGTATTGGGTGGAATATTGCATTCTACCCCATCTGTGAAGAGGAAAGATTTGGAAAATAAACAGTGCATCTGACAGTGTCTGAGCTGGTTTGAGGTCACACGTTCAATAAAAACCAACCCAGCACCTGTTAGCCGCTCACTCACTTTCCTCCAAATGGATGCCAACTCAGTCAACAGAACTCAAGTCAGAGATTCAAAGGACCAATGCAAGGCTTGACCAAGCTTGGCTTGGAAATTTCCAGAATTGCCTATGTCCGAAGGCGGGCCATCTGACATTGTGATGATCCTGGTGGTGACTCAGCCTGCAGAGGTGGTGGGTGGTGGTCCGGCTTGTGGTCAGCTCCGTCGTCCGTTTGTCTGCGCTCTGCCCTGCACAGAGGAGTGCACCCATCATTGCGTGCGTCCCTGGACCAGGAAAATCCTACTTCTCAGGTCCTGGAGTCTTTTGTCCTTCGGATCAGGGGTCTTCCGTTGTGACCCACATTCTGCAGGGGCACCACCAGGAGTTCCCGAGGCTGATGCCCACTCCTTGTGTGATATCCCAGCGCATCCTGTAGGACAGAACGCAGCGCTTCCCGGATTCTGAGCATCAGGTGAGAAAACATCCTTCCCTCCTGTCGCCTGTGGTTATGCTGGTGTTCTTGGCAACCTCGGTAAGTCTGGGAAGACTTTCAGCCCCACGGGGTGGCTTTTCTTGCCTCTGAGTAGCGACCTGCTTTGTGACAGGGAACGAGATGGTGCCAAGTTGACATGGGACAACTTTGCCTGTGCTTGACTTGTTTTTTGGGTTTTGTTTTTTAAGTGTAGCTGACGTACACAGTTCCGTCAGTCTCAGGTGTACAACATAGCGATTCAACGTCTCTGTACAATGTGCTGTGTTCACCACACCCGTGACTACCACCCATCACCATACAACACTATTACAACACCATTGGCTTTATTCCCTGGGCTGTAGCTTTTATTCCTGGGACCGATTCGTTCCAGAACTGGAAAGCCTCTCCCCCGCCTTCTCCCCTCCACCTGTTTTGCCCTCCCTCCATAGCCCCACCCCTGTGGCAACCATCACTTTGCTCTCTGTACTTACGGGTCTATTCCTGCTTCTTTTGTTTGCTCATTCATTTTGTTTTTTTGGATGCCACATATAAATGAAGTCATATGGGATTTGTCTTTCTCCATCTGACTTGCTTCACTTGGCTTAATACAGTCCATCCAAGTTGTCTCAAATGGCACCATCTCATCTGTTTTTATTGCTGAGTAATATTCCATAATATTCCACTGTGTGTGTGTCTCTGTGTGGGGCTATATATACCACTTCTTCGTCCATTCCTCTATCCATGGACACTTGGGTTGCCTCCATATCTTGGCTGTTGTAAATAACGCTGCAGTAAACATAAAGGTGCATTTGTCTTTTCGAATTATTATTTGCCTTTTCATTGAGTAAAGACCTAGTAGTGCCATTCTTGGGTTGTATTGAGGACCCTCCATACTGTTTTCCAGAATCGCTTGCATTCCCAGTTTGCATTCCTGGCAACAGTGCACGAGGGTTCCCCTTTGTCTGCATCCTCGCCAACACCTAATGTTTCTTGTCTTGATTCCGAGCCATTCTGATAGGTGTGAGGTGGGATCTCTTGGTGATGGGTTTTTTTATTGTTATGTTAATCCCCATACACTACATCATTAATTTTAGATGAAGTGTTCCATGATTCATTGTTTGTGCATAACACCCAGTGCTCCATGCAGCACGTGCCCTCCTCAATACCCATCACCGGGCTAACCCATCCTCCCACCCCCCTCTCATGGTGGTTTTGATTGGCATTTCCCTGATGATGAAGGATGTGGAGCATCTTTCCATGTGCGTGCTTGGCTTGGTTTCGATGTCATGCCACCATGACTGCCGGTCTCTCTCCCAGACGTGTGGCTACTCTTTGCTGGCTTGGGGACGGAGTCTACTCAGCCTTCCCTCAGCCCAGCCATGCACCCATTACCTGTGGTGTTTCATCTAGCACTTACCAGTGGCTCCTTCCTGCCTTCCTCTGTCCTTGGAGGGGGTCAGATCTCTGCATTTCTGTTTCCCATTTGTTTTCCGCCTTTGCTACCAAAGCCCATGCTCTCAGCACTCCCTGAAGCTCTGTCCCTTTGCTTGCCCAAATGCTCTCATATCCTGTCTTGCAAACCACAAACGAGCCAGCGTAATTTCCATCCAGTAGAGATACAGCTGCCTGGAGCGGGGCGGGGGGTGGGGTGAGCCAGCTGAAGACACACGGCTCCGGCTTCTGCAGAAATTGGCAGGAGGCAAGAGAAATTGTCCCAGTTTGCTAATGAATGTACAGAAGGAAATTATCTTCTTTGCTGGGCTGTTGCCTGTAAATGTGTCATTTTCTTATCCACATCATTGTGAGACACGATCAGCTGGGAAGTTTGACTATTTTGAAGGCACTGCTTTGCTCTATAATGATGACTTTGGAAGTGGGGTGCATCAGAAATATCTGGAGATTCTTCCCCCCCCAAAATAAGGTGGTTAAGATTCTCTCCTTTTTGGCAGACATGCTAAACCAGAAAGCCGGGGGTGGGGCTCGGTGCCTGAATTTTGATAATATTCTTCCTGGGACTTCGACTTAACAGTCCTGGGTGTGAACCTTGCAGTAAAGAGCTGGGATATCTGTAGTTAGGGCTGAGCTTTACGTTCTATAAACTCTTAAATTTGGGATGCAGGGGTGGGGGCAGGGGTGGCCAAAAGTTCAGATGTCCCTTAAAGTTCAATGAATAGCTATAAGTTAGAAAAATAGATTCAACTGTAGGTTAAAATACAGTTGACCCTTGAAAAATGCATGGATTTGGGGCACTGACCCCCCGAACAGTTGAAAGTCCACGTGTATCTTTGGACTCCCCCAAAACGTAACCACTCACAGCCTACCATTGACCGCAAGACTTCACGGTAACATAAATAGTTGGTTAACTCATATTTTGTAGGTTATATGTATTATATACTGTATGTATTCTTGCAGCAAAGTAAGCTGGACAAAAGAAAATGAGAATCAGAAAATCATAAGGTAGAGAAAACGCATGTACGGGATTGTGCGGTATTTATCGAGAACAATCTGCACATCGGCAGACCCCTGCAGTTCACGACCGTGTCGTTCAGGGTCAATGGCAGATCTTTATTTGTATCTGCTGTCATGGGCACATTGGCCTCAGAAAGCACTGTCGCATGGAAACAGCCAGTGTATGGTCCCTACTGTTTTCATTGCCTTTCCTCCTTTCCAAATATCTGTTGTGTTTTTCCCCTTCATGCCCAGAAGGACCAGTGACGACTTCTTGTTTTTCCTAAATATCCAGAAGCAGTTCCCATATGGGTGAGCGGAGGACCTCTTCATGCGTAATGCTCTCCATCCCACATCTGTGCAACCATCACTACCATCCATCCCACAGCGATATATAGTCTGCATTCCATGGCATTTGCGGTGACCCTTTGGAAAGTCTCATTTCATCAGTTCACGAGAAAACCTGTAAACGTTTTAAGGATGCCCACTGGGTGGAGAACACATTCAGCCCTCAGACATGGTGAATAAGGTGAAGATTAATTACATAAGCTTTTAACACAGGGACCAAACCACTTGGATTGGGTTATTGGTAGAATGGAACGAGGGACATCAAAGAAGTACAATTCATTAATGCCCCCCCACATTTTCAACCCTCCTGCTCTTCCCACGGAATCAGAGGTTCAGTGCTTAGGCACATCCCAAGATGTGGGCATTCAGTCGTAAGGTTGAGAAAGTCACCGGCAACAACAGGATGCGTCAGGTGCCATATTTCCACTTCTGGTTAAGATGGACATAGTAGGCTTACCCTCCAGCCTCAACCAATCAAGAAATAGAGAGTCAAAGAACAGTCTTCAAGACTGGACTTCAGGCACTTATGAACAGTAATCCCTGGGAGACAGAAGAACAGAGCAGGTGGAATCCCTGTCTAGTGGGTCACCACACAGCACCAGAGGGACCCGGCCTTCAAGAGAGTGGAAGGAGGCATTGGGGGGCCCAGCCCATTCCTTCCATAGCTCATGGTTGCAACGTGGCCCCGCACCACTGCACTGCAAGGGAGGTGGGGAAAGGCACCCTCCAGGGCAACCATGTGCCCAACAGACTCGGGGGCTCTGTGACCAAAAGGACAAAGGGAAGAATGGAGTGGAGTAGGGAGTGGGGGTGTCCATATCTGCCACCATCCTCAGGGGGACGATGAGGACCAGGAAAATGGCAGTAAGTGCAGTAGAAGGAGCAGATTGGAAAGGGATATTGGAATCGGTGGGGCTTTGGGAAGAGTCTGGCATGAACAGAGGACAAGGGGCTGAGCAGCTCACAGAAGATTCGCCCTTGACAGCAGATTCTTGGGTTGGGAAGAGCATGGCGCCATGTTTCCTGGGACAGCATCAGAAGAACCTGGGACCGGCTGAGCCGTAGACGGGTGCCAAGGGATGGCACGAAAGGAGGGAGGTCCGTGTGTGAAGACACTCAATGCTGACGGGAACAAGACAGAATGGACAGCAGCCTCAGGGAAGGACGAGGTCAAGAGAGACCGTGTCCTTGAAGACAGGGCCATGGGCGAGCATTTTTGCCACGGCTTTCCTGCAAACAGTGCCGAGCAGCATCTGCCATCTGGTATTTATGGACAGTCGGGGAAGGGAAGGGCCTAGAAGGAGCCAGAGCGAACGTCCGGGAGGTGCCTCTCCCGGAGGCCGGCGTGGGCGGCGGGAAGTCAGGCGGGTCAGATGTCTGTGGTCAAGACATGACTCACAAGCAGTGGCTGGGGACACTGGAGAGCCGTTGACAGGGGGCTTTGGAGGGGGACCCATGCTTCCTCCCAGAGCCGCGATGCCAGGCTTGTGCCTCCGACGGCCGATGCCACCCGCCTTCCCGGACAATGACACCACCCCCAGAAGCCACCTCCGTGCTTATGAGTCAGCAACTCACCCCCGATACGACGACGGGACGTTCTCACTGATGCACTTTGATCCTCTTCCAAGTGCTTTCCTTGGTGTCCCTGAGAGTCCTGAGTAAGCCCCACGGCTCCTTTCCTTTCCTTCTCTTTGTTTTTTCTTAACAGCCCAGAAATCCCCAAGTCCCCTCATTCTCCAGGAATCAGACTGATGTCATCGAAACCTCAGCATGTGCTTTCCATTAATGATGGAAACTTTCCTTCTCATGACCGAAGGAGTTTATGAGACACTCAATGGTGTACCCTAACATCTTTATGATTGAAAAAAAAAATGACCATTGTCATTGGGAAGATCATCTGCAGATATAAAAAAAAAAATCTACAAAAGTTAATAAAAAGAGACTCTGTACTGTTTTTATCAAATTCCCATCGTCTATAATATAATCCGCTCTGTCAAGCTATGAAAGGGAAGCATGTAGTGCTCACTAGCAGCATCTTGATCTCATATGGAGAGGTTGAATATGTGTCAATTATTTTTAAAATATGCACCACTGACAGAATCTAGAAGCTCCAGATGTTAAAGGCTAAAAAAAAAAAAAAAAAAGAGTTTATCCCCTGGAGTTTTGTTGAAATTCTGTGGTGTTTATTCATGTCCTTTCCCTTAGTAAGACCATTTATTCCCTTGTTTCGGAGAAGTCAGTGATGGTGAAGGCTTCTCCTTCCCCATGTTTCAATGGCCGTGAAACATTTTCTTCTTCCCCAGACACTTGACATTTGCTCACCTTTTCTCACACATTAACACATTGGACCCATGAGCTCGGTCAAGGCTGCCTTGCCTCCTGATACGTAGGGTTGTTTTCGTTCAAGTGTTCAGGGACACGTGCTGGCCAGAAAGTCAGCGATTCTTACCTTGTAAAGGCTCATCGCATCTTGCAGGAGAACGAAGAGCAGAATGGGAGCAGGTACTTGGCTGCTCTAAGTGATCACTTAATTTTCTCTTGGAGAGACAGCATGAGTGGGGGATTTGCTGGCTGAGGTCTGACCCCAGTTGGTTCCCCTAACCTCCTGGGACCTTCCTGAGCTACCTATAAACTCTACAGGGAAGACTTCCAAGCTCCATTTCCGTTCAAACACCACTTGGCTTTCTTCCAGCAGAGAGACAGCATTGAACTATGGTCGCCATGCATCCCTGCTCCAGCATTTTGCCAGATGATGATGGGATTGGTCACAGTTAAAAAAAAAAAAAAATACAACCCTTCCAGATTGTGGTAACTTTTTCCTCTAAGAGCCTGAAAAAATGTCCCCAAAGATACCAGGTCTCCATCACTAGAACCTGGGAATATGACCCTCTTTGGAGAAAGGGTCTTTGCAGGCTGTCCACATCTAAGCTCAGCCTTGCCTGAACATCTACCCATTTAGGACTTGGAGGGGATGAAGGTCCACAGCAGAATCCAAGAAGGGAAATCCTTTTCTGATGCACGCTAAGGGTAGAGGGGCTAAGGTTGCCCAACATTTGCAGTGTTGTATCCTGAGGCCCCGGGCAAATCTTATCCTTCCAGATTCCACCCCACCAGAGCTCAGAACTGGCACAGTCTGAAGACTGAGAGGTTGAGGTGAGTCACCAGCAGAAGCTGGAAATAAATCCTCAGTCTTTGTATTTAGGTCAGTGCCTCCCAAAGTACAGAGTTCTTCATCCATTTGGCATATCTATGCGATCAAACCTGGCATCTGACCACAGCCTCTGCCAAAGACGGCAGAAGAGTGAGGTCAGCCTTGAAAATAATATTCCAAATGTGTTGGATCTCCAGATTTCTCTCAGGATACGAAGCTAGAATCCATATATTAACAACCTGAGTATGTTTCCCGACAGGAATAAACCAGGAGCATGTGCACATCTGCTCCAGTAAATGAGAGACCAGAGGGGATGAAGTAGGGAAGCCCCCTCCCTCAGGGTGGCTGCAGGTTCCTTTCAGAGGTGTCCTTACTGGATGGTCGACACTTCTTTTTAACTGAATATTATAGTAACCTGAGAATTTTAAAAGAGTTTGGTTTTTAAAGTTATGTGGCACTGTCATATCCAAATTGCAGTGGTAACTCAGTGAAAGTCACTAACATCGGGCGCCTGGGTGGCTCAGTTGGTTAAGCAACTGCCTTCGGCTCAGGTCATGATCCTGGAGTCCCGGGATCGAGTCCTGCATCGGGCTCCCTGCTCGGCAGGGAGTCTGCTTCTCCCTCTGACCCTCCCCCCTCTCATGTACTCTCTCTCATTCTCGCTCTCTCAAATATATAAATAAATCTTTAAAAAAAAAAAAAAGTCACTGACATCTTAATTGCTGGGGTTACCCTCATGAGAAGCTCAACAGCATGGCCATAAGTATAAATTCATATAATATGTAATGCATATTACATATATTAACTTTTTAAAATCTATCAGTCATCTATCTCTTACCAATTCTATCAATTCTCATCTATCTGTATCTATCTACCATCTATCAAATTTATAAATTTTCCATTTATCCATGTCTATCATCTATCTATCTAGCCATCCACCTTTTATCTGACCTATATATCCATTCATCTATCTATCTATCTGTCTATCTATCTATCTATCTATCTATCTATCTATCTATCTATCTATCTACCTACCTATCTATATCATCTATCTATCCATCTATCCATCCATCCACCTATTATTTATGACCTATATATCCATTCATCTATCTACCTATCTATCATCTATCATCCATCCATTCATCCATCTATCCATCCATCCATCCATCCATCATTATCTATCTATCTACCTACTTATCTATATCATCTATCTATCCATCTATCCATCCATCCACCTATTATTTATGACCTATATATCCATTCATCTATCTAACTATCTATCATATCTATCATCCATCCATTCATCCATCTATCCATCCATCCATCCATCATTATCTATCTATCTATCTATCTATCTATCTATCTATCTATCTATCTATCTATCTACCTATCTACCTATCTATCTATATCATCTATCTATCCATCTATCCATCCATCCACCTATTATTTATGACCTATATATCCATTCATCTATCTACCTATCTATCATCTATCTATCATCTATCATCTATCTATCATCTATCCATCCATCCATCCATCCACCTATTATTTATCTGACTTATATATCCATCCATCCATCCATCCATCCATCCATCCATCCATCCATCCATCCTATTTATCAATCTATCCATCTGTCCATCCACCCATCATTTATCTATCTGTCCTCCACCATCTATCATATCTATCTATCTATCTATCTATCTATCTAGCATGTATCCATTCTTCCGTTCATAGATAATATCCTCAGTGACTCTGCTATTATTCTCATTCTTCAGATGAAAAACCACGTGATAGGGTCATGAGTTACCTTAGGAAGGTGTCATTGTCCTAAGAGATGGCGCTGACACGTGGCTCTCCTACCTCTTTTACTAAAGATGTGTGTGTGTGTGATTCACAAACCCCTGGAACATTTTACCTGCTTCAGACACATCATTACACCACATCAATTGTAGACATCATTTATATTAAATTGTGTTGTTGTACTATAGAATAAGGTAATTCAGTTGTCATTATATATATCCACCAGATACTTAATTCTATTAAAACTTACTATTGCTGTGTAGAGTCCCTTGAAAATACCTTTTAACCAAGTTTTTTGAGTGTGTTTTGAAATAACTCTTTTTGATGGTTGTTGGAAGGTAAATTCACATTTGTGAGCTTCCCAAGCTCTAGAGCTCCAAGGGAGTGGGGATTTACCATATAGTCAGCTTCTCCTTAAGCCTGTATGAGCCCGTGTAAGTCCTTACACTTACCTCGGAGAGGGACACCAGCGTTTACTGCCATGGCCAAATTTGGTTCTTTATTTTACTGCTGATGTAATAATCACTTACTATCTGATGGATATTGAACTATTTTACCTGCTATACATGTGTTTTTTTAAACATCTCAGTTAGTAATATTCCCACTCTCTCCAGCAGTCAGGACCTAAAGGACTGGATTTTGCCGTGGGAGATAGCCCAGCCGTCAGAGCTCTGTGCCCATAGCAGGTGGAAGTAAGTAAAAAATACTCTACCTCCCCAACACCACGGGTCTTAGAACAGCAAATGTTGATTATTTGTTGTTAGCATATTAATTTATTGTATAAATAGTATGTTAGCTTATTAATTTATCATAATTAATAGAATTAGCATATAATTTATTATATACTAGTATAAATTATATATATGATATAAATTATATATAATTTATTATTATATTATTAATCCTGATAGTATATGAAGTTGTTATAGTAGTACATCAACTTATTATAATCCTGATACTATATTAATTTATTATACATAGTATATTAATCTTGATAGTATATTATTTTATTATAGTAGTATATTCATTGTAATACTGATAGTATACTAATTTATATAACCCTGATGGTATATTAACTTATTATATATAGTGTATTAATCCTGATACTGTGTTAATTTATTATAGTAGTTTATTACTTTATTAGAATCCTGATAGTATGTTAACTTATTATATATATTAATCCTGATAGTATATTAATGTATAATAATAACATATTAATTTATTATAATCCTGGTAGTATATTTATTATAATCCTGATAATATATTTATTATATATAGTATATTAAACCTGATAGCATATTAATTCATTATAGTAGTATATTAATTTATTATAATATGTATTATAGTAATATATTAATTTATTATAAGTCTGGTACTAAATTAATTTGTTATAATCTTGATAGTATATTATAGTGATATATTTATTGTAAGTCTGATACTAAATTAATTTGTTATAATCTTGATAGTATATTATATTAGTTTATTATAATCAAGGGACGCCAATAGACACTTGTTCCTACAAGGAAGCCATGACATAACAGTCACTCACGATACATTGTCTAAACTTCATATAATTATTTTTGGCAGGTGGCCACCAAGACCAAGTGGGTTTGCATGCAGTAATTCCATACGGTGGTTTTGGTGACCTAGAATGATCTTTTGCATGAAATGTCTCCTGAGACTTCACAAAGTCACTGCATTGCTCAAATCCAGAAACTCTATGGGTGAGTGATGGGGATATTTCTGTTGCTGGGATCAGTCTGACTTTGAAACATTTCCTTGGTTAAAATGATGTGAGGGATATGGAAGGTACAGGGGATTGGAGATTGTGTGCATGTGTGCATGCATATGAGAGAGAGAGGGAGGGAGGGAGAGGAAGGCACAGGAAGGATGCTCATTTATAGGGAACATATTAGCTGTATTGAGAAAGGTTCCCCACCCATTCTGCCATGAGCCCCCATGATAGGGTAATAATCATGCTATTCTCAAGGTAGATTATTAGGGTTTATGCATCTGTGGGGTTTATGGAAAATGTGGGTTTTCCATGGCTTTGCCAGTTGATAGGACCTTAAAATGCCATTCATTTGGGTCAAGCTACCATGTGAGAAATACTATATTTGGGGACAATGGTTGGAAGGACCACTGGTCCCAGATAGCATGGGTTTTATTTTATTTGAATATGTCTGCAATTCTCCAGAAAAATTTAATCTAATCATGATGAAAACTTTGGAAGGCAGACTATTTAAAAAAGTTACTCTTCCCCTACCCCCTTGACCTGAAATTTGTTAATATATTCCTGTCAACCACAATTTTCAACTCTGCCTAGACCATCCAAAAGCTGAATTCTGGACCTCTTCTGTTGTAATTCTACACAGAATTGCTTCCTCTGAGCATCACTTTGTTATTACTCACTGGGGGTTAAGATTGAAAATATTTATAGCAGAGTGTATTTACAAATTGTGTCACTCTCTTCACTGTAGGGGAATTAATGAAGACATGTTTGGTATTAATGACTCAGAGATATGACTGGAACAGCTTTCCTTTGTGGGAAGGAAATGTTGGGAAATCGTTATTCATATAACAAGAGAGGTCTCACTTTTTCCCTTGGCTGCCAGGAAGTTCGTAAGTCAGTCACCTTTAAAAATCTTGTCATTGTGGTTGACAGGGATATATTTATATTAACAGATTTCAGGTCAAGGGGATGGGGGAAGAGTAAATTTTTAGATGTCTGCCTTCCAAAGTTTTCATTATGATTAGAGTAAAGTTTTCTGGAGAATTGCAAACCTACAAAAGTAGGGAGAGGGGCACCAGGGTGGCTCAGTCGGTTCAGCATCTGCCTTTGGCTCAGGTCATGATCTGAGACAAGCTTGCATGTCAATGCGGCACTGACACATAAATCATCATCCCAACACTCTCCTAAATCAAACACAAATGAGGCTGTCATTTGGAATGTGCGTCCAGTTCATAGCTGCTGCTGGGTTTATAGGGTCTTGGGATTGAGCCTGGCGTCGGGCTCCTTGCTCAGTGGGGAGTCTGCTTCTCCCTCTCCCTCTGCCCCTACCACTTGCTCATGCTCTCACTTTCGCATAAATAAAAACCCTTAAAAAAAAAAAGTAGGGAGAATAGTCTATTGTATTCCCCCATGTACCCATTATGTTGACTAATACCAACCCATGGGCAATGCTGTTTAATCTACACCCATACCTGTCCCCTCCTACAACCCTCAGACTTACCTTGAAGCTAATCCCAAGCATGGGAGAATTGCATTCATTTATTTAATTACATCTTATTTTCTTGTGCATAGCATTAAGCACTATACACAATACATTAGGAATACATGCATATTTACAAAACTCATCTTTTTGCATAATTCATTGAACTTCTGTTAATATGCTGGACTTGGTGCTCAGTCCCAGCCTTGGAAACCAACCCAAGACCATCCCTTGGTGACAGGAGGGTGTCCGATTGTGTGGTCTTGCTATGGCATTGATGGCCCTTACCTGAGTTTCTCCTTTTCTTGGACCCTGATGACATTTTCTGGAGAGAAAAGATGCAATTAAAAAAAAAAAAGTCTATCTTATGATTGGACTATTAGTAAGATACTCCAGGGGCCAGAAGAGACCAATAATTCTTTTTTTCCCCTCTGTCATAACTCAATCCAGAGTTTGGATTCCATTCCCCAAGGAGGCATGGCTCCTTCCCCAAGGAGGCATGCCATCCGATCTTCTGGGATTCTGGAAGGAAAGCCCATTCTAGGCTAGCACGAGACGAGTTTGTATGTGTGCAACCTGCTTAGATCAGGAGGTGAGGTGGGCCTGATGCTTCCTGGTACTTTCCCCCTCGTCTATGAACCAAGAAGCCAAGACGCCATATCGACCAGCCTTGCTCCACCATCTTTTCTTTTCTTCAAAACACCATCTTGCTGCTTCAATGCCTATATAGGTTCAACTGAGCTCTCAAGCTTGCATGTCAATGCGGCACTGACACATAAATCATCATCCCAACGCTCTCCTAAATCAAACACAAACGAGGCTGTCATTTGGAATGTGCGTCGAGTTCATAGCTGCTGCTGGGTTTATAGTCTTGCGAAATTGGTATTTACGGTTAGTCCACTTAAGCAGTTATGATCCTCTCGGTTTGTGTGCACTTGGCAGCGGGGGAGACATGCCCTGGCTGCTTGTAGAAGTAGAAGTAATGGACTGTGTTTTCCAAAAGTATTGACTCAGAGCAATGGAAGCTGTTAAGTGCAGGGCTGTTTGGTGCTAGTTAGGAAGAATGGGAAGTCGGGAGGACCACCCCCTCGGCTGGGGCCTGTCCACAGGTACCATGGGTGTTACAGAGGATGGATTCTCAAAGACGGAAAACCCTTGTTAACAAAGCAAATAGAGAGAAAGTCTGTGGAATCCCAGAAGGGAGATTTGCAGGAAAATGTGTCATCTGGCGTCAAAGACAGGGGGCAGTTAATAGATTGTTTCTTAAGCTTTTTGGGTTTCCTCCTGACTTCTGCTCAAAGCTGTAGAGCATGGCTCGGCAATCTTTTTCTGTAAAAAGGGTAAATATTCTTGGCTTTTGTTTGCCATATGTATGGTCTCTGCTGCAGCGTCAGCTCTGCCCTGTGAGCAGGTAAATGGATATAGACAATACGTAACCCAGGGGCATGGCTGTGTTCCAATAAAACTTTATTTATGGACACAGAAACTTGAATTTCACGTAATTTTCAGGGTCACAGAAGATTCTTCTTTTGACTTTTGCCCAACCATTTAAAACAAGGCATGAATTAATCTTAGCTGACCTATACCAGGCAGCTCACAAGATTTGGCTCATGGGTCATTAGTTCCCAACTCCTGGTCTAGATGACTTGCTTTAGTCAGGGGTCTTCAGAGAAACAGGACTGATTGGATATATATGTAGGAAGAGATCTTTTCTAGGGAATTGGCTCACATGATCATGGAGGCTGTGAAGTCCCACCATCTGCTGTCTGCAAGCTGGAGGACCTCCCAACTTGGCTGCCTGGACAAGAAGACGGGAAGCGAATGCTCCATGTCCCAGGATTCTTGGCATCTGGGATCCTCACCTGAGCCAGATTCTTCCAGGTAGATCTGCTGTTATTGCATGAGGCCCAGAGATGAGCTTTGACGTGCACCCGTCACAGCAGAAGAGCACATCTTCCCATCTGCATGCTGGCAGGGGGAGACCTGGTTCTTCTGGGGATGCCAGAGGAAGAGTCCACATGGGGTCCAGTCCTGACATCATGGGGGCTGATGATGATGGGGGGAGCTGTGTGGCTTCTGATCAAAGGCCCCACGAGCTACGGGTGTTTGCCTTTATTTTATGGACCCTGGGGCCATCATTTCCATCTGTGAACCATGCAGCCTGGTCCTCTGACCCTTCTCAGGGCTCATTCATTCCCTTTAATAGGGTCTGTGTTCACATCTCTGTTTTTATAGAAGTACAGGTGACACACCATGTTATATTAATTTCAGGTGCATGCCATAGTGATTTGACAAGTCTACACATTGTGCTGTGCTCCCCATGTGTGTAGACACCACCTGCGCCATCCAACACTATTCCAGTACCACAGACTATATTCCCTGTGCTCTGCCTTTCATCCCCGTGACTTTTCATTCCATAACTGGCATTCTGTACCTCTCACTCTGCTTCTCCCATTTTGCCCAACCCCCCACCTCCTTCACTCTGGCAACCACCTATTTGTTCTCTGCATTTATGGGTCTGTTTCTGCTTTTTGTTTGTTTATTCCTGTGTTTTGTTTTTCAGATTCCATCTATAAGGTGAAATCATATGGTATTTGTCTTTCTCATTTTGCTTAGCATAGTACCTTCTAGCTCCCTCCATGTTGTCCCAAATGGCAAGATCTCATCCTTTTTATGCCTGAGTAATATTCTGGATGCTTCTCTTCTTTCCTATTTGTAGGAAAGCAATACCCCATTTCTTTCCCATGATGGTTGGGAATGGCTGGGAAGTCACATTTCCTTCCTGCTCACATCAACCAGACTGGTTCTGGTCCCTGCAAGTCAGAAATGTGTCTGCAACAATGGCTGGTATTCACTGGGTATCTCCTGTGTGTCAGGCACAGTGTTCTAAAAGGACTACATTTAAAGACCTCAACGCTCCTGGGTGTGGAGGCTCTTAGGGCCTTCTTTTTTGGATGAGGAGATTAACATTGAGGGAGGACAAAAGGCCTCTAGAAAGTTAAGAAGTTAAGGAGAAGAAGCACATGGCATTTCACCTATGCAGCCTACTTTCATAGCTAAGACTTCCAGCCACTGAGCTCTGGGACCTGGGGGACAAGAAGGGGAACAGGTGGAGAAAATGGTTGCTGGCTCTGTCCTCCTGACGTCTAAACACTGATTGCTTTTATGTGTCTGCAACTCAACTCAGAGGGATGTACCATTGAGCTGGCATGACTCGCCTTTGGGATGTACCCATGGGTCAGGCCATCAGACGGGACTGTTCAAGTGGTTTTGTTTCAATATGGCCTGTGATGGATAATGGGCTATGGTGCCCAGTGTGGGTCAAATATTGGTTTACATGTCCCTGAGGAGATATTTTTCAGATGAGATGAACATTTATATTAGTAGGCTTGGCGTTAAGTGAATTGGCTACCACAGTGTGGGTGGGTCTCACCAAATCTGTTGAAGGACTTAAGAAAAAATAGACTCAGGGTCACCCAACGAAGAAGGAATTCTGCCTCCGCAGCACACCATAGAAATTCCACCTGAATTTCCAGCATGCTGCCTGTGGACTTTGGACTGAAGCCTTCAACATCAACTCTTAGCTGAATTTCCAGCCTGCTGGCCTGCCCTGTGAATTTTGGACTTGCTGGCCCTCAAAATCATGTGAACCAGTTCCTTAAAATAAATCTCTGTCTCTCTCTATGTAGGTAGACAGATAGATGGATAGATAGAGAGATATGATGGATGGATGGATGGATGGATAGAAAGATAGATAGATAGATAGATAGATAGATAGATAGATAGATAGATAGATAGATAGACAGACAGACAGACAGATAGATAGATAGATAGATAGATATGATGATGGGTGGATGGATGGATGGATGGACAGACATAGGGATGCATAGATGGAAGGATAGATAGATAGATGGATAGATAGATAGATAGATGTAGATAGATATGATGGATGGATGGATGGATGGATGGATGGATGGATGGATGGATGGATAGATAGATGATAGATAGATAGATAGATAGATATGATGGATAGATAGATAGACAGACATAGGGATGGATAGATGGATGGATGGATAGATAGATAGGTAGATAGATGATAGACAGATGGACATAGGGATGGATGGACAGACAGATGTAAGGATGGATGGATGGTTAAATAGATAGATGATAGGTGATGGATGGATATATAGGTCAGATAAATAATGGGTGGATGGATGGATGGATAGATTGATAGATAGATACGGATAAAATGAAGAGATACAGATAAGGATATAGAGATTTCTGTATCTCTCTCTGTGTCTGTATCTCTACCTCTCTTGATCTCTTGTTGCTCCTCTCTCTGGAGAACCCTAACTAGTATATAGCCCAAAGAACACAAAGCAAGCATAGCACCACACAATAGCTGGACCACGTGTGGTTCCAGGGAAAAGTTCATTCCCGCAATCTCCATGAAAGGATTAAACTATTTCAGGAATCACTGACCTGCAGCAAAATCCAAGGACGCCCTGTCTAGACAGGTCTTTGGTTTTACTGCATCTGAGCAGAGCCCAGTGCAAATGTGCACAGGATTTTCTTGCACAATCTTCTAAATACCTGTGGTCTGTTAACTGGGAGGTCAAGATAAGTGACTTTTATTAAGATGTCTAAACCTCAGACGCTGAGCGGGATTTTCAGGCTCTGACATCAGGTCTCAGTTTGGCGAGAGCAGCATGAGGTTCACAGGGGGCTACAGCATCCATAAGACATTTTTAGAATTGAAGGTTTTTTTCCCCCTGAGATGGTTTTGCATTCACTGGTGGGTCAAACTATTCAACAGGAGCCCTCTGGCCCTAGTGGGGAAGCTGCCCCTTCTCCCCCAGGCGAGTGTCCTCGGTGGGTAATGGAATCCTCTGGGCGCGGCAGTTTTGAGGAGCCTGGGTGCTGGCTCTGGGCGCTTCTGGAAGCATCAGTGGCTCCATCCTGCAGCTGTGTGCATGGTATTGCAGGCTGTCCACATTCTTCAGCGACGACTGCATGGGTCTTGTTTTTATTGCTTAGCAGTTCGACAGGATAGCCACATACTTCGATAATCTGCTGACTCCCTCCATATGCCTCCCTCCTACACATTCATAATTTGGAAGTGAAAGCAGTGTGAGACCCCCTCCCCTGCTAATAGTTTTCGCCCAACACTGTTGTCTTGCAGCCCTGATATCTCCATGAATTTCTGTTTCTTTCCCCCGGGCTGTGTCCACCTGGGCTCAAGCCGTTGCTGTGCTTACTACAAACCTGACTCCCCGTCCTAACTTAGCAGTACTCGAACCCTACAAACCCTCCAGGAGATCCTGTTTGCCCAGGGCCATCAGAGGAGCTCCCCTCGTTTACAGCCAAGCCTTCTGCTGGCTCAGCCTGCTCCTTTCCCACTCTGTCCACAATTCTCAGACCAACCTAAGTAGATGATGGTTTTTGCAGAATGCTCCTGATTCTCCGTCAATACTGACCTGGCCCTTTTCCATTTGGAAACTAAAAGCAAGCGGCTCCCCAACCATTATATTCCCTCACCTTGTGCTTGGGAGCATAGCTCTGCAACAAAATTTTATATCCGTGCACTTTTTAAAAAAATAGACTTTAGTTTTTAGAGCAGTTTTAGGTTCACAGTATAATTAAGTGGAAGGTACAGAGAGTTCCCATATACCCCCTTCCTCCACCCATGAAGAGCCTGCCCTCCTATGAACATCCCGCACCAGCATGGGACACTTGTAAAATTAAAATAGATGAACCCACATTGATGCATGATTATCACCGCGAGTCCGTAGTTTACATTAGGGATGACTCTTGGGGGCACACATTTTGTGTGGGTTTGGGCAAATACACAGTGGCATGTGTCCATTGTTGTGGTGTGACACAGAATAGTTGCCCTGCGCTAAAAATCCCCTGTGCTCCACCTGTTCATACCTCCCTTCCCCCACCCCTGGCAACCCTTGACCTTTTTACCGTCTCCATAGTTTCTCCTTTTCTAGGATATCATAGAGTTGCGATCATACAGGATGGAGCCTTTTCCGATTGCCTTCTTTCACTCACTAATTTGAATTTAAAGTCCCTTCCCAATGTACTTTTGTTCCTTTCTGATAAGTGCTATTTATTAATTTTAAAAAATTTACAACAGCGAACCTGATTTTTTTTTTAATTTAAATTTTGTTAGTTAACGTACCATGCAATATTGGTTTCTGGAGTAGAATTCAGTGATTCATCACATGCGTACAACACCCGATGCTCATCCCGACAAGTGCCCTCTTTTTAAATGATAGTTCCCGCTGAGTTTTGGGGTCCAAGGTAAAGAGAGAGTTGTGCCTTTACCTATTTATTGTAATACCTGTCAACATTTCAGGATCCATAATGGGGATTTTCTTTCCCCTAAACTTCCCCGACCCCCAGCTACCATCAACCAACAATTGCTTCTCTCTTATACTTACATTTCTAAACACTTGTATTCTTCCAACAGGGCAACTGGGCAGAAATACGTATGTACAGACATTCAACGGCCTTCACCACCCAGACCACTGGCCTCACTGCACAATTATTCCTTGGGGTCTGCCGTCATCCTAGAATATATAGAACGGAGGACTCACCCAATTTACTATTTTAGAAATATTCTCTAAATGTGAACAAGTGTCTCACAGCTCACAAAATCCCATCATCTTTCCCAGGGTCCCGCCACTGGCAGACGTCACTTCCCTGGGCCCCCCTCCCAGGTACAGTGGGCAGAGGGCTCCCCATAATGAAATGCAGTGATGTCTACTGGCAGTCGCCCAACCAGGCTGGAACCATTTGGAGAGGAAATCCACATGAGTCCTTCTAAATGGCTTGGGGTCTGCAGAAAAGGAAGTTTGACCAGAGGGTGGCAGGACCCTCCCGGTATCTTGTCATGGGGTCATGGTCAACACCCAAGCCATCGGATGACATCTGCATTGTGCATCAACATGGCTGGAGGCCTGTACCTTCGACGTCCCTCTAACGAAAGCCCCTACCTGTGTCTGGGTTGGAGATGAATAAGGACAACCCAGTGTTGAATTTAGTGGCCAACGTCTGGAGCCAGACATTGCTGTCTTTGTGAAAAGAGCTTCATTACCACTGGTCCATGTGGCCTCCTTGACCACGTTGTTCTGGCCATCATGGCACCCAGCTTGTCCTCTGAGAGCAAATGGGCTCCATTGAGAACAGGGAACCTCCATTGCTGATGATGATGGTCCACATGTTGAGTGGGAAGGTTCTAGAGTTGTATTATCTAACATGATAGCGACCTGACCCCTATGGCTAATGAAATTGAAATTGAAATTATTTAAAATAAAATAAAATTTATAAGTCACTTCTTTGGTCAAATGAGCCACATTTCCAGTGCTCAGCAGCCACCCTATTGTACCTCATTGCTTGGAACATTTTCCCATAACTGCACAGAATTCTGTAGGACTCACCATGCTGGTCTAGACACTGGATATTTCTAAGAAATATCCAATTACAAAGACGTTAAAGTATTTTCAATTTCTGGAATTCTTCTGATTATAAGGTTCTAAGGCACGTGGATGACACCCACATAAAATACATCTGGCAACATTCTCTTCATTACCAGGACACAAATCTATCTACCTCAAAACTTGCGGCTCACTAGATAATGTAAAAAGTCCTGCTATGAAAGAAAGCCAGATTCTGAAGAATCCCTAAAATCGCCCTGTTTCTAAATAGGTATGCATAGTCATATTATCCGTGTGTAGTGTAGTTATGGAAGTCTATGACTCTGTATAAACACGTATCTGCATATCCTTACGTTCCGTTACTACCATGTTATCACCTCTAGAAGAACAAAAGACAAGACTTGGGCTTCTCAGAGGAGGAACCAGCAAAAACCATCAAGAAGCAAAAAACGTTGACCAGTCGTGTTTGAAAATGAGACATGAGAGCTGTGCCCAACACCATTGAGATGCACAAGATTGCCCGAAGTAAGAAGGCTGGCTGTTGGGCACTTGGGGGGCTCAGTGGGTTAAGCGTCTGCCTTTGGCTCAGGTCATGATCCCAGGGTCCTGGGATCGAGTCCTGTGTTGGGCTCCCTGTTCAGCAAGGATCCTGCTTCTCCCTCTGCCCCTTCCCTTGCTGGTTCTCTCTTGCTCTCTCTCTCTCAAATAAATAAAATCTTAAAAAAAAAAATAAGTAAGAAGTAAGAAGCCTAGCTGTCCTAATGAGAGGAATGCTCAGCCGGCTGGCAAAGACACCAGAGAATTTGTTGGACTTGACACAATCACCGTTGATCTGTTTTAAAATCACTCGTCCGTTGCAGGTGTCCTTGCTCAAGTAGATTTCTTCCACGTGCTGAGAGAGCAGGTTCCTCGCCAAATTAGTGCTCTGCCGTCTGCCACACCTGCCTCCCGAGCTATGCTTGTTTCTGTTTCTTGGCTTTTTGCTGGGGATGTTTTTGCTGCTGTGGTTCCAACCCCATGCAGCTGCAAGGGAAAAAGCACGTGTGTGCCCACCCCTGGGATGTTTCCCTGGTGCACACCCTTCCACTCACATTCCTTTGAACAGAACTCAGCCACTCGGACACATCGCACCATAAGCCCAGCTGCGAAACGTCAGGCTGAGAAGAGGCAGCAATTGCTTTTCTGTCCATTAGCGGTCCCTAACCACTGGTACGACCATCTGTAGGTGCGCATGCGAAGCGATCAGAACACCCATCCCTCGCTGCCGGGACTGCAAATTAGTGCCGTCTCTTTGGAAATCCACTTGGCACCATCTTGCAAAGCTGAACATGACCCAGCAGTTCCCCTGGTTGGGATAAACTCTGTAGAAACTCTTGCGTACGTGTGCACGTGTTCTCATGCCCTTAGCGATAATGTCTGTACCGGTGATAAATGCAAACAACCCACACGTGCGCCCACGGGAGAACAAATATATAGAGTGCGGAATAATTGCACAATGCAATGTTGTGCAAACGGGGAGATAACAAATTAAATCTGTATGCAACGTTATGGGTGAATCTTAGCAATTCAGTGTGCACAGAAAAAATACACAAGACAAGACAATGAGCTATCAATGAGTAAAACTCAAAAAATATGTCATACTTATATGACATATATAAGTGTATACATATTATATATATATAATATATATTATACATAATACAACATGCATAATTTGTATAATGTAGATAAGACACATATATGTAATACACACGTATGTGTACATACGTGTGTATGTGTAATATATGTACATACACATATATATTACATATGTGTGTCTTAGAAATTCTTAGAAATATTAGAAATTCAGTGTTGACAGAAAAAAAAAAATACAGAAGACCAGACAGTGTACTGTCAATAAATAAGACTCAAAAGTAGTCATGCTCATATATATATATCTAAGATATATATGAAACATGTATTACCTATAATATAATAATATATATAATATAATAATCTGTATGATAATATATATACTATAAATAAGGCATGTATATGTAATTTATAGATAATATATAATATATTAATATATAATATATAATAATGCAATATTACATATGATAATATATAATATGAATAAGACATATATGTAATTTATAAACATCTGGGTGCATGTACCCCTTCGGTTCCCTACATTTGTATCTTTGGGGTAAACACCCAGTAGTGCAATTGCTAGGTCCTATGGTAGCTGTTTATAGCAGCAATGTCCACAATAGCCAAACTGTGGAAAGAGCCCAGATGTCCATCGACAGATGAATGGATAAAGAAGACGTGGTGTATATATACAATGGAATATTATGCAGCCATCAAAAGGAATGAGATCTTGCCATTTGCAACGACGTGGTTGGAACTGGAGGGTGTTATGCTGAGCGAAATAAGTCAATCAGAGAAAGACATGTATCATATGACCTCACTGATATGAGGAATTCTTAATCTCAGGAAACAAACTGAGGGTTGCTGGAGTGGGGGGGGTGGGAGGCATGGGGTGGCTGGGTGATGGACACTGGGGAGGGTGTGTGCTATGGTGAGCGCTGTGAATTGTGTAAGACTGATGAATCACAGACCTGTACCTCTGAAACAAATAATGCAATATATGTTAAGAAAAAAAAAAAGAAGAAGAAGAAGGTAGCGGGAGGGGAAGAATGAAGGGGGGAGATCGGAGGAGTAGACGAACCATGAGAGACAATGGACTCTGAAAAACAAACAGGGTTCTAGAGGGGAGGGTGGTGGGAGGTTGGGTTAGCCTGGTGGTGGGTATTGAGGAGGGCACGTTCTGCATGGAGCACTGGGTGTAATGCACAAACAATGAATCATGGAACACTACCTCAAAAACTAATGATGTAATGTATGGTGATTAACATAACAATAAAAATTTAAGAAAAGACATACATGTAATTTATAAATGATAGTATATAACACATTAATATATAAACTATAATAATATATGATAATGTAATATTATAGATGATACCATATAACATAAATAAGACATGTGTATGTAATTTAAACAGACACATCTATCACATATATGTTTCTTAGAAATTCCTAGAAATCTTAGAAATTCAGTGTTGGCAGAAAAAATACAGAAGGCCAGACAGTGTGCTGTGAATGAATAAGACTCAAAAGTAAACATACGTATGTCTTATTTATAATATAATAATATATCATATATGATATGTTATGTATGATAATGTATAGAATTCAGATAAGACATGTTTATGTAAGACACAGACAGACTTATATTACATGTGTGTCACATATAACTGTACACATACTATATAAAATATATTTTACATATTTCATATATGTACATATATGTGTGTACATCTTATATGTAATATATACCTGTGTATAAATTACATGTATCTATGCACACAAACATATGTGTATATGTCTTAGTCATATACTGGTCAATAGGATCCAACGGTCCATTAAAAGGCTTATTCACCACGACCAAGTGGGATTTATTCCCGGGCTGCATGGTTGGTTCAACATCCACAAATCAATCAACGTGATACACATTGATTAACAAAAGAAAGGACACATTAACAAAAGGAAAGAACAATATGATCCTCTCAACTGATGCAGAAAAAGCATTTGACCAAATGCAGCATCCTTTCTTGATCAAAGATGGTCAGAGAAGACTTCCTTATTCATGGGAGGTCCAGTCTTTTGTGCTACTCAGGCCTTCAACTGATTGGACAAGGCCCACCCACGCTGGGGTAGGCCATTCTGCTTTAGCGAGTCTACCCATTCGAACGCTAACGTCACCCAGAAACGCCGTCACAGAAACACCCAGAATCACGGTGTTAACAAATAGCTCAGCACCCTGTGGCCCAGTCACGTAGACAGACAAAGTTCACCGTCATAATGTCTACATATATATGTGTGTGTGTGCGTGCGTGCATAAATGTGTGCATACATACACCTGCATCTTGCAATGCCTTAAGTGTCGAGCTGGCCTCGTTTGCTAGATGGTGTGCACTGTAATCCTATTCCACAGTCATCCTGCAACGGCATTTGTTCTATCCAAATGCAAATTCAGCAAAGGATCAGAAACAGTAAAATAGAGACAGACAGACATGACACAGCCAGACATCAAGAACGGAGAGCCACGGTGTCACCTAAAAATGCCGGTAACTGCAGAGAGCTTGCGAGTCTGCTGTGCTCATCACTGGGGAAAAGATGCCCGCCCGGCCACCCTGTTGTGGCCACGGCGTTTGGTGGGGCTCAGCCTTGCAGCCGTGAGCTCAGCGGGATGTTTTTCCTCCCTTAACATCCGTCTCCTGACGATCTGTGTCCCCCTGTCCATGTATAGAGCGCAGGGCGGACTGAAACCCAGCTCCATTTTACACAAAGAGAACAGCCCCTCCACGAAAACAAATTATACCCTTTAAGACACCTTTCTGCTGTGTCGAGCCAAAACTGCCCGCTTTTGTAACTCGGCGGCACCTGCTAGACATGGCGAAGGATGTATTTTCTAGGTTCCCAAAGCACCTGCTGCACAAAGTACACTTCTTTTGACTTTGGAAGGCTGACAGCTTCTAAGTGGGTTTGAAATCCTAGAAACAAGCAGCTCTCCTGTATGAGCAGAGGAAAGAAGAAATAGGGATCACAGTCAATTAAGACAGAATGCACATGTTTCCAAGAGTCTTGTGTGTGTGTGTGTGTGTGTGTGTGGATTAGTTGTGGTTTGTATTCATTGTATGTAGATCCCGCTTGGTTATCAACTCAAGATGACTAAACTTACATTCATTAGTAAATTTATAATTTGGTTCAACATATAGAAGAATGAAATAGGACTGAGTGACAATAACATTAACACCATCATTCATGCCCTGTTAAATTTACATAGGCCTAACATCAGAAGAATATACAACATTACAAAAAAACATTCTTATCAGTTCTAAAATCACATACTTGATTTTCCAAAGCTTTCCATTACTTGGCGGCACTCCTACCCATTGAGAACCATTTCCAACTCACACATATCCGGGACACAAGAAAATGGCCATTCTCTTCTCTCTCTGTAATACTCCTGACACCATACTTCCCATTTTATATTCTCCCATCATGATAATGCTGGAAGCTGGCATATTTCAAGCCATGATACACCTGTTCTCGGATGGGGTCACCCATCTTCCTGGCCAGAATCCCAGGAGGCACACGAGCTAGGCAGGCTTCATCATCCGGAGAACCTACGGATGCCCATTTCCCACCAATACACACCTCACAACAGCTCACGAAATGCTGTCCTTGTGAACAGTCCTGCGGTAGGCTACACCGTGGAATGACCCAGCCCATGTCGCTCATCAGTGTTGAATTTCAGTAAAACCTGGCAGAGAAGTTTCTACACAGGAATCAAATTTTTAACAAAATGGAAAGAACACCCACCAGTTGGTCTTCTCCTTGAATCCTAGACCTAGTTAATGGGCTGGATTCTCACAGCCTACATGACCATTTCCGCCATGGGGAGGACAGACGGCAAGATTACTGAATATCTTGCTCGGAAGATCCAGCCCGTCCAGGTATGCCCAACACCCAACACGGCAGTAGATTATTTGATTTCCATCCACTGCAGGTAGGATGGTTCCTAGTGAACATTGTTGACCTACTGCTTCTAAAACCAAGATGCACAGTGACACAGGAAGCGTTCCAGCAAAGACAAACACTCAATGAGCAGAAAGCATTTGTATGGTTGCCAACAAGACCGTCGTCAATCCTATAAGACACTTTGCAAATGCACACGTATGAGATTCAGTCTCTTGGAAGGGCCACCCATGAATATCGACGCACAACACCCACAGAGATTTAGAGCTATTATATTCGGGAACATAAATGTTGCTCAAAGAGGAGGCACTGTCCTCACCATATTCAGAAGCCACTCAGGTGTCCGAGTGTTATTTGCAGAATTCAGGAGGCACTCTGGTGTCTGCGCGTTTCTGAGCGTTATTTGCAGAATTTAGAGATGTTCCGGTTTCAGAGCATTATCTGCAGAATTTGGAAGCCACTCTGGTTTATGAGTGTTATTTACACACACTTGGTTCTCACATATTTGTTACTGAAGCCAGGACATGTGTATGGAATGTCCTGTGATACCCCTTCGATCTCCATGCCTGGACCCGTGGTCCACATCTCAAACGTCTTATGTCTGAAGAAGAATTCGTGGTCATGCCCAGTTATACCCACTCCGCCCTCGGTCCAGCATATGTGAGTAATGGGCATGACCCCTGAATCACTTGTTCCAAAGCTGAGACCCATTCTTGGTTGGCTCCTTTTCTCCCATATCCTACAAGACATCACCACTGACCCAGTTCTTCAAGAACACAACCCAAGACCAAACATTCCCGACGTGTCTTCTTTTCTTTTTCTGTCCTAGAGAAACATCCCGTTCATTGGATGATAGCTGTGCTTCCAACAGCTCTTCAGAATCCGTCCATGCCCTTCATCTCCAACAAAGCCACTTCTCCAATCCGTGTTTCTCTCTAACCTGCGTCCCCACGATGAGCCATGATGGCTTTCCCCAATCTGCTGTCTACACAGCAGCCAGAAGATGCTCCCAAATGTCAACCAGCCCATTCCACACTCTTAATTAACACCATCCCTTCCCATTCAGGATAACGTTCAGACCCTTCCCGGGCACTCCCTGGGCCTGCTATCTCCCCGATCTCTGTTCCCCTGTCTCTGTCCTTCGCCCTCGGCTGCGTGGGATGAGACCCAGCTCTTCAGAAGCTTGGCTCCTTCTTCACACTACTGGGTCAGCCTAAGTGTCCCCTCTGCCCACTGCCTCCTTCGGAACTGCCCAACGCAGCATTCTTGAGGTCTTGTAGATGCCACCGGGCAAGCCGTAAGTCACGGGCCACAATGGAAGCAAGCCCAGTGCTAGGTGTCCCTTCACTCCCGAATGAGCTCATCTCGCGGTATGCAGCTCTAAGGTGGTCTGTCCATCCCTTGTCACATAGGAGGGAGGCTCTCCACGTTGCCCGCGCAGCTGCCTCCTGAGCCTGTAGTCTCTCGATAGATTGTCCATAGCTTACTGACGATTGATCAATGCCACGTCATTGGCATGGTGAGTCAATTAACAGTCCATGTACACCTTGTGCACCCAGAGACCTCTTCACTGTAGAGTTGAAGCGTGTCCACGAGCGGACACGCGGCTTGCCTTCGAGGTCCACACTGCAGCCAGCGAGAAGCAAAACAGCTAGGAAGCCGGGAGACATAAATTGTCCTCTGGAAATCCTTAAACTGTGGGATTTAGAATGCAAATCAGTGCATTATGTGTACAGATAACACAAAGATGGTTGTGGTTAAGACCATCTTTATCGTGTGCAGGGGGAGAACAGAAAAGGTTTCAGGTTTCCTTTCTGAGTGAATGCCTGTGTAAATATGGGTGAGGACCCATCAACACTGCTGTGATGTTTCCACAAATCTCATTTGGAGATGCAATCATGTATTTAGGGAGAGCTCTCCGTGAACCGCATTGTGAGAAGTCATGTGGCCCCCCCTCCCATCCCTCTGGGCTG